TTATATACAATATAATTATTATAAGAATTTATAAATTTATAAAGTTAAATGCACAGTAGGTAATATGTGTGTATATATATATATATATATATATATATATTTTAAGTTTTTTTCTTTAGGTGCATGTATGATGACAACATTTTCTAATATCTATCGTGGTATGATTACCTAAAGTTAAAATTTGGTATAAAAAAAAACCTTGATAACGTTAACTTGCCTCTAGGTTTGTATTTTAGATGATCCTCAATAAATTGACAAGGGCAACGGGCGGAGACGCAATGACGTGGTGGTACAGAAAGGCCTGTGATGCTTCTATTACGATCCTGTGAGTCTATAACCAAATCAAGTCTGCGACGCACAAAACGACGTGCCCATCGAGAAGCATACCTCAGCAACAGCAACTCCGCCCGTTCCTGCCAACACATACTATCATCATTCGGTATTCAGATCGGCATTTCATTTATTGATATAATAATCTTCCGCTTAAATCCTAAAAAATACTTTTCTTTTTTTTTCAAACGAATATATCATGCGATAACAATTGTCTTCGTACAAATTTTAAAATATAGAATGAAACGAATGGATCGCCACTCTTAATACAATGGACTGTCCTTTAATTTTCATATAGAGACACGACAAAATAAAATGAAAAATAAGTATTCATTCGCTATTTTATAAATCAAATATTTTTAAACATCCATTATCTTTTCTCATAAAAAAAAATAATAATGATTAAACAATTCTTATTTCATCTTAAAATAAAATTAATAATTATAACTTAATTTGTTAAAGGAGTTAGTAGATAGATAGATTATAATATACTTATTTTCTTTTCAATTCGTAATCTTGGAAGTTATTGTTACACTAATTCTACTAACTTTTATTTGATTTTAACGTTTCCTTAATTAAAAAATTACTCCCATTACCAAAATATATATGTTATATTATATTCTATATTAGTTATAGATTGTTTGAAGGTAACGCGAATTGCATTGTTCATTGTTTGAATGCTAAACAACATATTATATCTCAAATGTAATCATATAGACACAATTACTTTGTGCGTCAACAATATTTCTTTCTTCTTCTGTTTGTAGAAATATTAAAAATGTTATGTTCGTAAAAAACATCAAATCCTAACTGCTATAGTTGCCTATGTGATATCAAATTCAATATTTAAGAACAATTGAAATAGAAAAACAATTACTTGGAAATAATCTACCTCTGTTATATTTCTTTTGCCATAATGTAATACTACTTTTTACTGCACATGTACACAGAGGTCATATTACTTTAATATAGTCAGTGCATGTTAACGAAGCGCTAAATAAAAGCAAAATATAGAATCGAGAAGAAATCTATGTCGAAGTAAAATGCGACTTCAAATAAGGAATGTGTCTCAATGGAATTCTTACTTGTATTGTTAACATAAAAAATGTTTCCCTAATGTGTGTAAACATATATGTGTATATATATATATATATATATACACACATATTACCTACTGTGCATTTAACTTTATAAATTTATAAATTCTTATAATAATTATATTGTATATAAGTACATGCGGATAAGTATTTATATTATTCTCATATGCCCCTATCTCTTAAGAAACTACTCCATCTAGGACAAAAATCTCTGCCCTGTACACGTGGCTTGTTACGCAACCATTCTTCAATATATTGACACGGACACAAAGCAGATGCGATATGACGTGGGGAAGAAGGATTTCCACCATCTTCATCGACCGTCCAATCCAGACGTCGACGTAAGTAATCCTTTGCCCAACGTTGCACATAACGGCATAATACTTGTTCGCTTTTACCCTAGTATTTTATTGTCATTTATAGTACTAAATATTTATATGATATAACATTGAAGACTATTAAATTTATATTTGTATATGTGTGAAAAGACTAATTTACCAAATTTATATTATAACTTTGTCAAAGTTTGGCAATGTATGTAATGAAAAAAAGTACTTATAAAATAAGAAAATGTAATTTTGTTTACCTGTTTCCGGGAAATTCGAGTTGTCGTACTGCCTTGTATTACAATGTCACCATCATCAATATCCATTCGTTGCTGTAATTCTCTTTTGCGTTGTGTATCATTTTCATTACTTCTAATTATTCTTCCTTCGCATTCTTCACGTTCTATCACCTCCTGGAGCTTTTTCTAATAAAATGATTTCTGTATTACTAATATTATGTCGAATATATGTATATATATATATATAAAAAAATATGCCTTTAACAATCTCATTACTTACAATAATAATGAAAGACACTTACTATACAGTCTGTGGTATCAAAATATATGAAACATAGATTAACTTTATGGCAGGATATTTTTCCTCTGTCATCCAATCCAAGTAATATCTTATGTCGCAATAAATGCTTATTAACTTGCGCCATACATTTTTCCAGATTATGGTTCAATTTTATTTTAATAAACATGCAAAAGAATATTGCAGCTGCATTTAGGACTAGCCACATGACGCCAAGCCCAAACAATGTAAGGCCAGTTACTCCGGAAAAGAGCAAACCAAGCAATACAACAAACGCAGTAAATATCCAAAGGACAAGTATTCTCTTATAACATATATTATACATATTGAAACGTACATCGTTTACAAGCAATTCCATTATATGCACATAGTCCTCAACAGTAAGCTGCAGTATATATGTATACATATATATATATATATATATATAACAATTTATTTTGGTTTCTTTAATATTTTAATCATACAGTGCTTGTCAAAAGTCTGAGAACGTAGTTTTATTGAGAGAAAAACACAAGTTTCATGTAAAATAATACGGACTTCTGACAAGTAGCATATAATATGAAATTAATAAAAAAAAGAAAAGAAGTTAAAATAATATTTACCGTTAATCCTTGTGCCATTAATTCTTCGGGAACTAATTCAGGTCTAAATTTAGCTGGAGTTATCCAAGGCCATCTGGTATTAACTGGTAAAAGCGTAACAATAGTATCACCATTCGCAAATCCTTGTCTAATATTTCCAATGGGTGTACTTATAACATTACTAGGATTATTTCTGCCATTAGATACATCTCGCAAATCCACTGTCTTTAAAGAAGCACTTTTTGGATCTGTTACTTTAACATCGGACGGAACATTAAGATCTGTACTATCAGAGACAATTGATCGGCTTAATCCTGATCTATCTAAATTAATTTGGACGGATTCAGTTGCTATCACAGCACCACTATATTCATTATTAGTTTTATTAATAACTTCTAAATTTTCAACTGTTTTGCCAATTTTATCAACATTTATTGTTACAGATTCTGGCTTTATCACCGCTGGAGTATTTCTTTGAACTTTATTTACATATTTTGATTCATCTTTAGATACTGTCTCGCTTGGTTCCATTTCCTCCTCAAATTGGACCCAATTTTTAGTTTTGGAAGTGATATCAGAAGGATTCACTTCTGATGCATGATCAGTCATATCTTGGGAACTCATGTTTGTTGTTTTATAAAGCGATCAGATCTAATCAGAATAATATTTCTTTCATTTAACTTTTTGTTAATCTTATTTTTAGAATTGTTTGTATATTTCCCAGGTTTTTCACAATATAATACTCTTCTTTTAATCTGCAAATAAGACATCCAATTAAATAATATCGATAACAATATTAAGCAAGTTTTAAACAAATAATTGACTATTTCAAATAATAATCAATGAAAAAAAAAAGAAATAGAACAAGCACTAATACCATTAACTGTTTAAAATGTCTTTATGATAAAGTTAAGAAGAAAAAATAATTAAAGAAAGAATTTGAAAAATTGTAAAATTAATTATTAAAAGAAAAAAAGAAGTAACAAACATACAGGAAAATATGAATGCAGTATTCTAATTTCCAAGTATTGGGAATCGACATATGTTCGAAGAACATTTCCTTTTCTTTTTCCTCTTTTTTTTTACCCCCTTTTCAAAAAATAACGACAACAAATATTATTTTTCAATTAAAAAACAAATGACCTTTAATTATCTATCAAACGTATATACGCATACTCGTGCATATATCATTGACACTCGTATGTTAGAAATAAAATCGTACGTTAGAAAATAATACGAAAGTGGAGAGAAAGAACATTTGTGCGCTTCTGCATTATACGAATTCTTTCTAGACATTTTTTTCTAAACTAATCATTGGTAGCATTCCGATACTATTATGTGCTAATTGGTCGAATAATTAATTATGATCGAAGTTAAAAGGATTAGTTTTACTTTTTCAAACGTACCTGCTGCGATACAACCTGTCTCATGACCGCGAGGTGAAAAAGTACGTAATGTACGACATCAAGGTATATGACATGGAGGATGAGGTGAGGCCAGGGAGGGGAATAAATAAAGGACACAATACGTAAGCATACGACCTCATGTCCCCCACTTCACCCCTTCGCCCTCCTGTTTCCAATGATGTGCACATCTCTCTCTCTCTCTCCCTCTTTTACTCACTCATTCATTCCTTCTCTTTCCCTCTTACTGTTTTCCTCTATATAATTATTCTCCCATCAAACTAGGCAACACACGACTACTAATTTGTAATGCATACGAAATTACTTCTTTCCGATTATTCTTATCATTTCTATCCTCTTTATTTTTTTTTTTTTTTTTTTTTTTAACATACATTTATGTATATATATATATATATATATACATACATACATACAATTCTTTTAAATCGTTTTAATCTTTACGTTCTCATTGTTTTCATATATTTTCTATTTACATAATAATACTGATAAACAAAAAAAGAAGATTTAAATTATTTTGATCAATCAAAGATAAGGCTCTTTTCTATTGGTTAACTCTGATTAGCAGATCATTTTAAATTCTTTAATAAAAATGTGATGGGGAGATAGGCATTATTAATGATTTATTATTATTAATTATTACGGTGATAAAAAAAGAAATCTTATATAGTATATACCTATGAAAGATTATTATCTTAATATGAATAATGTAAATACCGTGGATTTTAATTGATTAAATCGCATAATCTAACTTATCTCGCGCGATTGTGCGTGACTCATAAGAACCTAGTTTTATTGGCCAGCATTTTGAATGATATTTGCATATTTTTTTGTATATAACCTTAAAATTATTTATTTTTATATAAACAAATATTGTAATGTAATACTTGATAATTGTTGATTATTTTTATACTGATTGCCATTTATTTTAAAGTAAAACTATTTTTAAAAAGTAAGAAATTGTGCACATCAAAATAAATACAAAAATAATAACATTTATTAATTTATATATGTATATGTATATATATTTGATTAACGTTTGCGTATATTTACTTAATTACGTGTTATTTTTTATTAACAATATTTGTTAATAATTATTAAATCACGTAAAGTAAAGAAATTTTATCTGTCCAAATTTTTAAATAAAATTTGTCCGAATGAACCAATACCGTGAGAGTAAATTACTTATACACGCGCATGCGCAATATTTATGATCTGTATGTTATACTATGCTAGTAAAATGATATATTAAAACTGTATAATATTATCAATATTTTATATATTATCTTATAAAATTTATATTCAATGTGTGTGTGTAGTAATTGTTTACATGTTTACAATAAACATTTTGACAAGAAAATAAGTAACTATAAAAGAATCATATAAATAAAATGATTACATAATTAATAATAAAACGTCATTGGAATTTGTTAATGACATTGATTAATAAATTAATACAAATGATTAGCGGTCTTCGATATTATATCAATCTTTCTATGCTTCTTACTGAATATTGATTATGGGAAACAAAGATTAAATTTAAAGTATAAACAGGTCTTTTATAATTGTAATAGGAATATTAAGCTTATGCATCAATATTACAATGATGACATATTATAGACAAATGATACTTAATGCATCACGGGTGGTTAGAAAATATATAAAAATAAATAAACATTTAAAAAGTAATATACCAATAATTTATTATAATTTATCTGTCAATAATTACAAGTATTTATACAAATCAAATAATACAAATTATAATAATGATAATAATAAGAAGAATGGTAACATAAATCATTATCATTTCTTTTTGAGTGGTCTTTTCTATGGACTATTTAATTTTGACGATGATAACGAAGAAGAAAAAATTCCTGAACTTATTATGACTATTAAACGTTCGATATTAGCTATGCAGGTTGCGTATAATAAAACAATATACTAACAATGTAACATCAGTGCGTTATATTTTTAATAGCATTTAAATTTTTTTTCTAGAGAAACGAATTTAACAAAGCTGAACGGATATTACATATCGCTTTGAGAGAAGCTCAGGTTCTACAAAATTATAATGCTATCACTTATATTTATGATTTGATGGCTAATGTCGCATTTGAAACGGAACAATTTAAAAAAGCCGAAACTTTATTCCTCTTGGTTTTAGGAAGATTATTTGGCCAAGGGATAGATCAAAAAGATTTGAAAGTCATACATATTAGTTTAAAGTTAGCAAACATATATGAACATACTGGAGACATAGAGTAAGCTTATTTCTTCGATTCAATTAACGATACAAAATATTCAATTTTATTATAAGACGAATGAAAAATTTTGTTTATAGAAAAGCAGAGACTGGTTATAAGTTTTGTTTAGAAAATATAGCAATTCATTTGGCTAATGATCCTGAAAATGAAAATATATTAATATTGTTAGCTATGGCTTGCGATTGGTATGCACAAATGCTTTTGTCTTTGGGAAAATATGCAGAAGCTCATAAATATTTTGAACAATCTTATAACTTATGCATTAAAGTTAATGGCAGAGTTCACGAGCAAACAGTGAATTTACTTAATTATTTAGGAACCGTAAGTTGTAAAATGCAAGAATATGATAAGGCAATTGAATATTTAACTACTGCTATAGAAATAGGTAAATTTTATTAAACATTCAAGTAGTTTTTCTTAATCATTTTATTTAAAGAAACATAATATATTAATTTAATATTTCTAGGAAGAGCTTTGCCAGATTTGATTCATTTAGGTTCAATTCATGTTAATTTAGGGGATGTTTATTTAAGAAAAGGTTTATATGCTGAAGCGAAAAAAGCTTGCACTAATGGTCGAATAATAGCTAAAAAAAGAGAGGATGATGAATCTTTAGTGGAAGCTGATAAATGTCTAGCTGATATCAAAAAATTAATGTGATTTTACTGAGTATTATTTAAAAAATAAATAAAACATTAATGTGTAATTAGTAAAAAGTTATAAATAAAATTTGTGATAGGCGTGTGATGTAAATAATAAAAAATAGAAAACAATTGTTACGTTTATCCAAGAACTTTAATTCTGTTAATGTTTGATTAAATGTTCTATTCTATTCTACTTTTTTTTCTTTCGTAACCGTAATATTTATCATTACACTTACTTTTAATGATTATATAATATAATCTAAAATATGAGGGAGGAAAGAAAGTAACGTTCGAATATCTTAATTATTCCTCGATCACAAAAAGAGAGTACAACGGAAATTAAAATAAAATGTTAGTTCTACTTTACAATTTTAATTTCCGTTATTTGCATATGTTTAAATACAATTATAACGCAAACAAAATTTCGTTTATTTCTCGTGTAATATTTAATAATAGTATATATATANCTAATTTAAATATTTGAGGTACAATTCTTTTTTTAATCGAACCATTCTACAAATCTCTTCAATTTATCAATATTACTTAATCTACCAATGTAGTTGATTAATATATAAAAGTATCTGAATACGCATCATACAATTAATTCTTCATTCTGTTTATTGCATGCAATTCGGGAGGTATATAATTTATATTTGTAAGGATTGCAAATGATAAAATGACGGAATGAAAAATTTCAATACAAAATGTTAATTATAATACGTTACACAGAGGTCTATTTTTAAATACAATATATTACAGAGAAACACACAGTTATAATTTATTGTTATTAATATTATATCTATCATATTATAGTACTCTTAAAAGTATTTTTATTATTTAATATTATCATTATCATTATTATTATCAATATTATTAATAATAATATTATTATTATTATTATTACTATCATTATTAATATTATTTTTTTTATTATTATTATTTTATTGTTATTATTATTATTATTATTTTTATTATTATTATTATTATTGTTGTTGTTGTTGTTTCTGTAGCTGTTAACATACGCTGACCTTAATGAATTGAATATGTAAGGTAGCACGGAAAATATGTAACGGGAGACTAATCTTGCTGTATGTTTATAAGGACAGCTTCATCATCAATTATTATATTAATCTCCAGTATCTGTGCAACAGTAACTGTGATCTCGGTAATAAATAGTTAACATAGGGATAAATATTACGCTACCGCGGCAGTGTGCTTCCTGGATTTTAGGTAAGGGGCATTTATCCTCTAATTATCAGGATTATATCAACTAATATTCTACAGAGAGACCCCTTTCCGCTAACCCAAATTGTTGTATTATCATCTACTTACTGAAAATCGTATCAATAAGCAGCATGTATATGTAAAATTATTGTTTTAGATAAAAGGTGGTGACATGTTTAGTTTGTTTAGTTTATAACGTGAGAGCCTACGTTTTTTTTTTGACTTCAGTTAATTATTTTGTTCTATTTTTCTATCTATCTTTCTCTGTTTTTTTTTCTTTCTTTCTTTCTTTCTTTTAAACAGGTGTGTCAAAATGGTAAAGTGATAAATGCTACAACAAAATTTAACGTGTAATACATACGAGCGAAACTATCTAAAAGATTGAGTACAAAACTTGCTCAGCAGTAGAAATGTATATCTTGATTTACACTTCAAACAAATACTTTGGCAAGAGCATCAGCTCCTGCACTTGCAATAAACGGTCTTGATGGGTGGAACGCAACGTCTAAAATACTTTCATCAAATTTCTTCCGATGCGCCGTTATTTCTTGAACACAAGTTTTATTATCCATATTCCATAATCTTATACTGCAATCATGACCTAAAGAAAAATATAATAATGAAAATAATTTATGTATCATCAAATGTTGTATGTTTGTATTGGGTTGGCAACTATGTGATTGCGGATTTTGGGTTAGCAATTAAGTGAGGCATGGTTACTTTTAACAAAAACCTATTGAAAACACAGATCCCGGGGACCTGTAACCATGCTTACTTAGTTGCCAACCCAATATTAAAAAATAATGAAAGTTAATGACTTACTTCCTGAAAGTAAATAAAGACCATGGGGATCCACAGCAAGACTAGTAACAGCATCTAAATGTGCAACCATAGCATGAGCAAGAGTTGCCGAACGATGGTCATAAAATCGGATGTGTCGATCTTCGTGTGCTGCAACAACTAATGGCAAAGTTGGATGAGCCACAACACGATTTACACCTTTAGTTTCATTGGCTTCTAGTCGAGCTATAACAGCGTCAGTCTCTGAATCAAACAATACACAAGCCCCTTCATATGCCACAACTAATTTGTGCGGTTCGTCTCTTATAAAATCAACAGAAGTTGGTATCCCATCTGTAAATAATTATAATTGTAAATACATTTAAGTCGTTCATAAAAATAAATGATATGTATATTATTAACATATTATTTGAATAACGGACCTTGTTCAGAGGTATAAGTATTAAGAAGTGGTACTTTGCTCTGAGGACTCCAGAGTTTCACTGTTCCATCAGCACTGATAGACAACAACTGTGAACGAGGCTGATACATACTTAAACCGCAGATAGCATCAGTGTGCCCAGTTAAAGTTTGGCTAAGAACACTTGGATCATACGAATCATATGGATCTATATTTGCAGATGGAAGTGTCCAACAATGAATCATACCATCTAAGCCACCACTGTAACAACGACTTCCAGTACTGTCCATAGCTAAACAGAGAACTGGACCTGTATGGGATCTGAAGGTGTATAATGGCTCTACGTCTAGTGAAGCTGACCTATAAATAATTAACAAATTATCATCATATGTAATATTCTTTTAAGAATGTTTTTAATTAGAATTTATTTATACTGTGATTTATTGAATATATATGACATACTTTTTGGCTGGTACAGTTTTGTGTAAATTCCATAGTTTTAATGTATGGTCATCACTTGCAGTTATAAGGACAGGATCTGTAGGATGGAAGACGAGTGCTCTAACAGCATCGAAGTGAGAGCGTAATGTATATTTTGCATTCCATGTCTTTCGAAATGTTTCTTTTGTTGTTGTTACCATCTGAATAGAAAAAAGAAAAGAAAAAAAGATTTGTAATAGTAACATAGCTAATAAAATTAATCTATCATTACATAATCTAATTGATCACATTAAAATATGTGAACTTACATATGAATTCTTCCTCTATAACTTTTGATAATTCAAATATCTTACTTATGCAATAAATATAACAATTTCAAAAGTTCATGTGAAATAAAAATAAATATCTATTTTAGTAACTTACGTCATATGATACTTCCGCTTCATTGTTTACACACAATTGCTCTAATTCTCCCAATTCCAATGCGGAATCACCTTCTTCAGTGGGACGCCTTGGATCTGTTTGCAAACTTCTAGGTAATGCATCTATATATATATATAGGATAAAAAGTAGAAATTTTTGTTTAAATCACTTCTTTTTTCCTTTACGATAGTAAGAAATATAATAAATTGAAATAATACTAACTCCACCCTGGTGGCGGTGATTCTTCAGTTTGGGTTAGTAGATTTAGTTGATTTAATACTTCTTCTGCTTCAGCATCTACATCTTCTGTTATAACAAATGATGCCTGAAAATTCATCCAATTTTTATAATACTAATTTATAACTTTTTCTTATTAAAGTCAAATATATTTGCTACAAAGAAAGATTAAAAAATAATAAACAGAAAATAATAATAATTTGATATTACCTTATTTGACTTAGATTCTATATTTGTGTCATACATTTCATCTTCTACATCTCCTTCACTCTCTTCCATATCCATGTCCGTTTGTGGTAAAAACTCGAAACTTGCCATAACAGCTGCTTCTGTATCTAATATCATTGCTTCTGCTATTGAAGAGGGTTGTTGCTGCAATTTCCATACAAAAACAAAAGAAATCAATTAACATTAATCAGAAGACTCGTAGAAATAAATGTCTGTAAACATTTTCCAGGATTTAAAGAAAATTTGGCATAAAAGAAGACGTTTAATAAAAAAAAGTTTTATTTTAAAAATATACTTTAGTATAAATATTAATACGATGCACAAACGATACCTGATGGAACAATAATTTGGGAGAAGAGTATGAGTTAACACATATAATGTTATTTACCTCTACCTTTTTTCCAGGAGTTCTTCGCGTATTATTTTTTGCTTTAACAGATGACTCATTTCCATTTAGAGCTGGTGTGTTCATATCATCGGAGTCCGTATTATTATTTAAACCAAGAAGAGATCTCACTCTGTTTGATCTTACGTCTATTATTGTTTCGGTATAACCAATTTCTTGTAAATATCTGTAATTATCAATTGATAATATTGTACTATTCTTCTATATAATATAATGTTTGGTTTTTTCGATACTCGTATAATTTTTAGCGTAAAAAAGAATGATACTTACTGCCTCAATAATTGACGACCCTGTTTCCAGCTAATGTTGCTAACAGACGTAAACGGTGCTTCCCCATCTCCACCACCGCCACCAGTTCCTTCTGTACTAGCGCAAGTACTACCCTCTTCATATAGAGGTGGCTTGATGTCTCCTTGGATGACCAAGTCAGTTCCATATTTTAATTTGTGATACCTTGCTCTAAATATATAAAATTACATCTTCTTTTTTAACAGAAATAAATAGAATATCATTCGTTAGGGAAATATATTCAAAATTTTTATTAACTCCTCGCACTATAATAATGTATGATATTTGTGATACGCTTTATCACCCAGATACAAGGAACACAAGTCCTACTCCTGGCGAATCTTATGGGACAAATATAAGAAATACAAAATATAGTCTTAAATCATAGTGCAAGGAGTTAAAAAAAATAGATCTTTCAAAAACTTCTAGTATTTAATGTACTTAAATACAAAATGAACTTACCGCTCTTGTTTTAGTGCATATTCTAACATTTTTATTCTCCTTACTAGATCATTTTTCAAATTTTCCTGTCCCTTTCTTTCGCCTTGTAAAAAAGCTATCCTAGCCTATAAAAGAAATATTGATTTGAGTAATCGAGTTGTCATTGTTGTTATTCATAAAATATACATTATGATATTTATTCTTTTATTTCTCAATGAAATATTATTATTTTTAATAATCAATAATAGTAATACTTGTGGGTTCATTAAGTTCTTGTCTATCAGGTGTAAGTTCTTTTTTATAGTTTATTTTTATACTGCTTTTATATAAACTTTTGTATCTATAAAGACTCTTCTCATTCCTTTTCCAGCCTCCCCCACTCGACTATTTCTTTTCTGTATATCCCTTCCTGTCTCTCTCTTTCTCTTTATCTTTACTCATCAAAATCTCATTTAATCTTTCTAATATCTCATTAAATCAAAGTTTATGAGTCTCAATTGTGAAATATCTCATATAATAAATAATTGATAATTTATAAATATTAACTTCTACAAAATATTGTTAAATATTATTAAAGTCAAGAATTTAGTGCATCATTAAAATGTATACATAAAAAAAAGTGGAAAAAAAACATAGAAAATGTATCGAAACAAAAAAGTAGTTCAAAAGTTAATTGAAAATAGGTGATACAAAATATCGATAAGTATTATCGAAGTTTATGCATCATTAAAACTATATATATATATATATATATTATATATATATATAAAAAAGAGAGAGTATATAGTATTACAAAATAATATTGCAAAGAAATTAATTGTTGAAAAATTCGACTTTTTTAAAAGGAAATATATATAGAGAGAGAGAAAAAAAAGAAAGTAGCAATAATGAAAATTAAAAAAAAAAATAATACTATAGCGTATCTTTGTGTACTATAGTTCTTTATGTCCTGTCATAGGACATGTGAAGTGATGATATCTCGTAATAGTATATGTATATAGTAAATAGTATATGAATGACAATTGGTAATGAAAATAAATGATTAAACGTATACCTGAAACTCAGCTCTGTCAAGTTCCCACTGTGATCTTTCGAGTTCAAAACGAGCCCATTCGTGTTGAATGAAATGCAGAATACCAGGCATGGAGTATTGTGGTCTCTGATCTTTGGCATCACCATTGCTGCCATTGTCACTACCCTGATGCTTGTTATTGGTTAGAGAAACGTTAGCACTACCAGATAATTGACCGTTGTGATTTTGCGACGCAGAACTGGAGTTCTCCTCCATCGTGGAACCACAAAACTGGCTGGGTACCTTCATTTCATGAAACGGCAGCCATTACAGCATCTCCTCTTTCCTCTAGAGCCCAAAGAGTGCTCTTCGGTCGGATAATATGTTTCGATCGAGTTTTGAGAATAAGAAGTAATTATTACGCATGCGGCAGTGGTAAGGCAGCAGCCGATGTGCGCCCAAATTATACCGATCTTTCTTTCTCTCTTTCTCTTCTTTATCTATCTTTCTTTTTCTTCTTACTCTTCCTTCTCTTTCTCTTCTCCTTCTCTTCTTCTTCTAATACTTCTCTTCTTTTCTTTACTCTTCTATTCTTTCTCCAATACGGATTTAATTCTATCTCCTTTATTTTCACGTTCACAAATAATAATAATATATTATACACTTAGCGTTAAAAACGATGAAATCCAATGGACATTGTTAATAATTATTTATCTAATAACTCTCTTCTATTTCTTTTTCTTTTTTACCGTATATTTCCGTGTTGATGATGAGCCGCGCGATCTCACCCTCTGAGATCCGTGTGTGCTCTCTTTATCACTTGGAAAACATGGGTGCGTACTCTTTCTCTCTTTTTCTCTCAAACGGGAAGAATGATTGCAAGTGACAACCAGCTAAACTTTCAACCAATCACCGATTCTAACGAATTATAAGAGAAAGGATGCCCTGATTGGTTTAACGCTTTCACAAAACTTCCGTTGGCCAACCAATTGAAATATTTCTTCGATCATTTATATTCGTTTACTTTCTCTCATCGTAAAGCAGATAATATTTATATATATACATATATATATACAAAAGGAAAAGCATAGAAATAACGAAGATAAAAATTTCATATACTTTTCGAAAGTATTCGGAAGTTTAACGAAGTTCGCGGGTGCAATAGTCTATTTGCGCATGCGTATGCGCACGTCGCGCTCTATTTGTTATTGCGCATCGCTGCTCGCTTCACCGCAAATTTAAATGTACATATTTGAATAAATATATATATATATATATACAATCATTCAAAGGCAAAACAAAAATGTTTATCATTGTTTGCATACGATTATTTGACTACATTAAAACGCGATAACATTGTTTAATATTTACTCGACATGCGATTATTATCTATTATTTCTATTAGAGGTACTCGATTACAATAAGTCAATTGGTAAAAGATTATACACAATTTTTTATTTCTTTTATCTGTAATAAATGATAAATTGTAAATCGATAACATTATTATGTTATATATTTAATTTTCTTTATTCTTTTTTTTTCTTACTTTTTTTCTTTTCACACCTTTTTTAATCTTTTGTATTTAATAAAAATAATAATAATTATAATAATAATTATAATAATAATATAATAATAATAATAATTTTTTTTCTTTTTAACCGAAAACAAGCTCACATGTCTTCACAAACAGTTCACCTAAGTGATTACAATATAAAATAAGGTAATTTATGCGATATTTATATTAATTAAAATTTTCTTTTTCTTTTTTCTTTTTACTGAACAACTGTAGCGTTCATGACTGTCCCCCTTTTTTATTTTTTTGCAGCGTATTATTATTATAAATTTAGAAATCGCGGCAGTAGTATAATTTTGTTTATAGAACGGGTTCAACAGTTTATGGTACAACTTTGAAAAAATATAGTCGTTTTGCCTGAAAGTGTAACTGACAGTACAAGAGATTCATAAGACGTATCATCATATATAATAATTGAACGATTTATATATTTATGTTACTCTTTTTTAATATTATAGAACATTAAAAAAGGATTGATACCTAAGAAATAAAAATATTACGATTCATCGAGAACATAATGATAAAAAATTGTTAATTATCGTTGTTGTTTGGAACACATAATAATTAAAATATAATTTAAATGAATATAATATTTGAATTGTCAGTAATACTTTTAGGCCAACATTGAATCCTTATAAGACATATATATAATAATTTTTTGGTGTTCAGTATTTTAACTATTAACAATAGTTCTCACAGTGGACCAAAGATTAAGAAGAGAGAGAAAAAGAAAATATAAACACCTACCTTCCAACAACTGGGGAAAAATTAATCTAAACAGAAATTATCTTTTTTCTTTCTATTTTTAAACGATCGAAATGGAAATGCAGAGTTTACAGATTCTTTTTCTCATTCTACATAGTTACTTCTAATTCTTTTTCTTTTTTTTCTTTTCTTTTCCCACGCAAGAGGTCTTAAATAGGACTTTGATCTCTTTACTTTACATATTATGGCATTTTGACTGAAGATAATGGTGTATACAAAACACATCTACAATTAAATACCACATTCATAATATATATATATATATATATATACTTGCATCAACGTGAAAAAATAAGCCTAAGAAACGAGAGAGAGAGATATATAAAATCTGTTTTGCTATCTCTCTCCCCCCCATCTCTATCTCTGTCTCTCTCATTCTCTCACTTTCATTCTTTCTCTTTCTCTCTCTCTCTCTCTTAATCATATATTAAATAAATAGACATAGCTCATGTGTTGATAAATATTTTGTACAATTCCCCCATGTATTTTGCATGGATATACAATTAAACCCTGAAGATATATATGTATATATATTTTTAGTTTGAAAGATTGTAGAATAATTTTTTTATAAAAAAAAAGATTGCATGAATGTGGTATAAGTTACATAAATGAGTAAGTAAATAAGTACTGAGAACTTTCTCTTTTATATGTACAATGATGTCTTTGTATAACGCACAGTTCAGATATTGATAAGAAAGTATGTTTCAATCAATCAATCAAACAGAAAAAAATAAAAAAAATATACATAAAAAAAAAAAGAAACAACTCGCACGCAATTTTGTTACCTATTTATAACACTGTAGAAAATTCTTGCAACTCCAGAGTTTTTGTATCTGTATCTTAATATTATTGTTGCATAGATACTACGAACCACAATATTACAATTTAACAACTTCGAATAATTTTCTATGCATCTAAGCATATAGGTTCATATGCGAAACATCTTACACGATCACACTTCATATTTTGATGTGATGCTTAGATACAGATTTGTGTGTGTGATACTTATATACATAATTTATGCATATCTCCTGGTAAAAAACTGAAAAATCAAGAATGCATTATTATTGGTTGTGCAATTTGAACGTAGATGCAAGTTTGGTTTGTTTTTACCGATTATATGGATGGATACAGTATATCAACTATTCAACGCAGACTTTTTCTAACTTTAATCATTAAAGAAACATAAATTACTGTCATTAAAACAATATCATCTAGAATGTGTGTCAACGTGCATTAAATCCTAAAGGATTTATTGGAAATTCCGATCAAATCATGTTTTTTCTTTATATTTAACGCTTTTTTTATATCATGCTAATGAAACGAAAATTTGTGAATATCATCGCAAAAACGTTTATAGTACTCTGTACAATCACATGTAAAAGAACAAAAAAGAAAATGAGAGATACGCTTGATACAATGCACATTAATGTAAACATGTGAATTCAAGTCAAAAAATGTAAAAAACACATGAAAAGTATTTGTTTGAAACAAATAGTATTTACAATAAATTTACACGATATGTTACAGTCTTTTCTTTGGTAATGAACCAAAAGCTGATATAACAGTTGCCTTCGTACCAGTTGCAGAGGACGTTAACGTGGTTAAAGTTGGTTGAGATAACAAAACTGTGGGTTTTACCGACACAGTGGCACCAGTTGCAACTTGATCCCACTTACTTTTTCTTTTTTTAGCATCCTCTTCTGCTGTACTGGAAGAATTGTTTGGTCGTTTTGCAGTACCTGATACTATCTCGATTTTAGTTTTCTCCTTTCTAGCCTTCTCAAGTTTGTCCATTTCCGCTTTTTGTACCTTAGCCAATTCCTCGTAATAAGAATCCTTGCCCCATTTAAATGGATCAAATCTGTCTGGAGGATAATTTGTACCCAGCTCGTTGATGCTACAATACTGAATTAATTTTTCATAAATAGATGGATTTCTAAAATCTTTCCTTTGCTGTATGACTTTATTCATATCTAAACCGCCGCTCTCCATTTTCCTAAAAAGTTTTGTTATTTTTTCTTGTAATTCCGGTGGACATTGACCTGGTGGCTCAGGTGGTATTACAACTCCAAAAGAATCTGTTTCCCCATCTGAAACTAATTCTCCTTGACACGAGGGAGACTGCTCGGTAGTCAAGGAAGGCCTTCCATTTTCTGAAGGCTGTTCCTCAACCACCATCGGCACAGCTCCTTCATCGTCGGAAACTATTGTATCATCAAAATATGAAACCAATCTCTGCACCTTCGATGTTACATCAGTTACTAAGGTGGGCGCGTTCGGCAAGTTGCTTTTAGACTTGCCACCAAGACTGGAAGCAACGTTGGGACTATTTGAGGCTGATCTGCCAGATTTGGGACTGGTGAGAGCCTGGGGCTGACCGACTTGGGCATTATGCGGGGCGGCCCCCTGGGGAGTGTTCGAATTCTCCTGAAGGTCGTCTTCCACCCCGTCTTCGCCCTCCGAGTCGGTATAGGTGGCCGTGAGAGATGCCAGAGCAACACTTTGTACAGACATGGTTAGTTGGCTTTGAGTGTCCGCCGTACTACCAAGCAATATTTTGTGTTGGAACTCACCGGTGTAGCGTCGTGTTGTTTGCTGTAGGGCTTAAAAGCATGTACAGCTATCGTGAATAAATGCGCCCCAACATATACTGGAATGTTAATCTGTAAATTAAAAAACAAAATATATTCACAATTAATTATTAAAAAACCAAAACTAATTCATAAACATTTGATATAAATAAAACAAAACAAAAATGATAAAATCAATGAAAAGATAATCAATAGATTTTACTTTTACTAGAATTGAATTAGAAATGTTAGTTGACCATTGGTTACGTGCAGATAAAATTCGATTAATAACACGTGTTAGGTTAAGTTACTTATTCTTCAAACGTTTTAACTAAAACTAACCTGAATTTAGGAGTCCACGAACACCGCAGTTACACTATACTCATATCTTTATACATTATGTGCCATTCCTTACATATATTAATAGTGAGAATCATTAATTAATTCCACAAATACTATCAACGCGTAACTCGAGAAACTTAGCTTTGTTGCAAAATCTGAAGCGTACATGCGCAGAAAATAATTATTGCATCGTTGACTACGCAACCAATAATAAGAAGTCTTCTTTATCACGTGGCCATAACACATCTGCACATAGTTTATATTATAACCAGATTAAAATAGTATAAAGTATAAACTTTTATACTAGTCTTTTAATAGGAACACTATCTTGAGTAAATCCTATGATATTTAAAGCACTGATACGAAGTTAATCACAAATTTGATCAGTATAGGAAGTGTACATTGGCGTGCATTAATGGCGCATGCTGGGTATATCCCCACCACTGCACTAAGTCTCTTTTTTAATAGGGACTTTAGTATTGTTTATTTGCTGCAAGTGTATCTCTTTAATTATTATATTTCATTTATTCCAAAACTATATAATTTATTTTTTTTAAGAATAATGGTATTAATATATATCTACTTTAAATTTCTGTTTAATTTAATTAATTTTATCGTAAAAGATTCAGTAATATTTTTAAACTAAACTATTAACTATTTTTAAACTTATTTGGTTAACAAACAATTGATATGATTTTAAAAAGAGATATAGTTTGTTTTATATTATTAATATTAAGAATATTAATATTGTCAGTAAAAAGATTATTGAAAGTATAAAAAATAAAAAATGTATAGTGCTAAATAAAAAGATGCAGGCTTAAAAAATTTTAGGTACACTCCTGCATTTTTATGTAATTGCCATCTATCGATGAAGTTATAAACTAATTACGTGCAAAAATGTGACATAGTTTCATAGGAATAACAAATTTGTAATTTTTAGTTAATTAAAACACACACACATTAAAATTTTAACAAATTAATGTTATATTTAAACTATACGGCAAAATATCAAAAATATAAGAAAAGTATCAATTTCGTAATTTTGACAAGTTTTAAATTATTTAAAAACAAAAGTTTACTATATTTTCTCATCAAATAAATAATACGAGTTTAGGGAATTTTTTTTAAACAATAATAACAATAGTTTACCAATTTGATTATACAGATTGCAATACTTTTTTAAATTCTTTTAAATTTAAGCTTTTATTTCATATTAAATTAGTATAAAATAACTTTTACATTTTTAAAAGCAAAAATTAAAGATGAGGATTCTTTATATTATTGTGTATGTATGTACTATTCTAACAAAAAACATTGGACAGTATTGTTTCCTTTTATGTTCAAATTTTTAGAACAATTTCTAAATGATTTTCTGACCATCAACTAAACAATATTAACTTGGTAAGTTAAAATCTAAATTTTTATTTGTTTTTATAATTATTCTAGAACATTTTTGTATATTATTGAATTCATGTGAAGTCTCTATACAAGCATATGTTTGATATTCAACTTGGAATATACTAAAAACTTTAATATAAACTAGTAAATAATCTTCAATTTTTTATTTACAATTGTTAATTAAAAAACAATGCAATATTTAAGGTAAGGCAATCCCTATTTGTAAAAAATTAAACAATATTATAAAGAATTTAATTTAAATTTCTGGGGTTTTTGAATGATATATGTGTACGTATATGTGCGTGTGTGGTGTAGTAATATTTGAATTTTTGATTAATAATTATTGTCGAATAAAAAGTAATATTAATCAGAATACAATATTTGAGGTTAAGTGGTCCCCATTAAAAAAAAATTAATAACAAAAAATGTTATAAGAAATTTAATGAGAATTGTGTTAGGGTGTTTTAATGCACGTGCACATGTATGTGTGATGTAGTAATATTTTTGACATTACATTAGCTGCTCTGTTTCTTGTAATCTACCTACCTAGCGATCTTTGATTCTGTGATAGAACAGCTGTTTACTAGAGGATTGTCGGCGATGACTATACAATAGAAATAAGAAGATAAAAGATTATTAAAATTCTAAAGATAGCTTAATTGATATCACCAAATATTGAAGAATAATAAAAATAATATATAATCGATAATAACTTTCCATACTATATATTTAAAGTTTCTGTTTAAATGACGAAATAAGATTTTCGGCAAGTGATTCAAGATGACATGGTTGTGTTACTTTATCTGTCATTAAGATATTCGTCTAATAACAGGTTTAACCGAGTAAATAAATCTATTAAAATGGATGTTGTAACGACCAGTCTTGAAGCTTTGATTCGTAAGTATTATTAAATAATACATTATCTAATCATTTGTAAATAAATGTTTGTGTAAATAATTACTAAAATGATTCTATTGTTTATCCATTAATTTTCTAATTTATTTTTATATATTTTCATTTTATTGCTCATTAAACGTTTGTAATAAATATCTAGTTTATTTGTAGAAACAAACAATGAACAAATATTACATTGTAAACTATATTTTGTAGAAAGAGCTACGAATCCACAAAATCAGAAATCTGATATAGCAGCTATCGAAGCGTTCTGTGTTATGGTTACGAAGGAAACAGAAGGTGTTCAAATAGGCAGTAAATTATTAGCAACGCACATTCAATCGTCTAACGAATCTGAAGCTCTTCAAGCTCTTACAGTAAATATATTAATTAGTAATTAGATACAAATGTGTTTTTTTCCTAAATAATTAATTTTATTTTGATATAGGTGTTAGATACTTGTATGAGAAGATGCGGTCCAAATTTCCATGCAGAGGTTGGAAAGTTTCGTTTTTTGAATGAAATGATACGACTTGTATCGCCAAAATATTTAGGTAATACAACTCCTGTCGCTGTACGTCGAAAAGTATTACAGCTATTGTACTTATGGACGAAAGAGTATCCACGAGAATCAAAAATCAAGGAGGCCTACGAAATGCTTAGAAAGCAAGGAGTCGTAGAGGTTGGTCATATTGATCTACTTAAAATATTTCTATAAAATCAAATATCTAATATCTGAAGATTATAAGACAATATGAAACTACAGGAGGATTCAGTACCTATTATTAGTGATACAGATGAAGCCTTTAAAACACCTAAAGCAAAGAATGCGATATTTGAGGATGAGGAAAAATCAAAGTTGTTACAGAAATTATTACAAAGTAAAAATCCTGGTGATTTACAAGCTGCTAATAGATTGATCAAAACCATGGTAAAAGAGGTAAATAAAAGAAATATACGACTGTTATATTTTTGTTTTATATTTTTCTTCGAATATAATATTAATATATTTATTGTAGGATGAAAGAAGAGTACAATTGAATTCACGAAGGATCATGGAATTGGAATCAGTTCATAATAATGTCAAATTATTATCTGAAATGTTAGATTCATATAATCAAAATGAAACTAGTCCTGAAGATCTTGAATTAATGAAAGAACTTCATCAAGCTTGCGAACGTTTAAAACCTACTGTTTTAAGATTGGCTAATGAAACTCAAGACAGTGAAGAAATGCTTGGTAAATATTTTATTACTTTTAATATAGTAACACATTCAATAATTTTTATTGAATTTTAATACAATTTTTATAGCTATATTTTGATATCAGTATAGTTATTATTATTTTTCATAATATAAGATATGAGTATGTATATTAGGTGATGTACTCGCAGCGAATGATGCATTAGGTCAAGTATTTGATAAATATACTGCTGTGATAATTCTCGGTCAAAAATTTACTAAAACAAATATTAATAATGATCCATCATTATTGGATTTATCTTCTCCGATTGATGCTGCTAGTTCTGAATGTACTTTAAATGTGGACACAGATAAAACTAATAATACAGCGACAACAAATTCACAGTCGGATATGGAAGTTCTTGGAGATATATTTAATTCTTTAGGAAAGTCTATGGATTTCTCTTTAACTGCAGATACAAATATTTTAATGCCGGAACCATTGATAATGGATCCAATAAATTCTCAACAAAATGGAAAGAAAAGTATGTATGTTTATTAAACCAATATTTACGAACTACATAAGTATTATCATTTTATTTTGTTAAAGTTGGCGATAACGCTGACACACCTGAGAAGAAAATGGATAGCAAAGCCAGAGCATTAGAGGAATTAAATGAATTAGGAGAATCTCTCCTTAAACAAAGTTTGTCATATAAAATGGCAAAAGAATTGCCTTCGGATGGAAAGTTAGTGTTAATAATATAATATTCTTAATATTCGTTCTCTTTTTATTAATATCGCTTTTATATCGTAATCTTCATATTTTATTTTTTTGATAGAAAAATGTCTTTAGCTCATGTTGCTAAACTTCAATCGAAATTTGATCATCACAATTCTATGGGTTTAACTTCTACGAATAATAATGCAACGCAACAAAATACGGTAGATAAATCAAGTAAAAATGAAAATGATAAAGTCAAAAGAGATTTAATATCTCCTAATATTCTTAACGGTGATAATACATTAGTCGATGTATCGCAACCTACTGATAAAAATAAAAACATTGAAACAAGCGAAGAAAACACATCAACAAAAGTAAACGATGTATCAGCATTGACTTCTGATTCTGAACCAATGATCAAGTCTCTAGCTGATATTAATGTTAATCTTCAAGATATTAAGCCAGGTATATATAAAAATATTTACTATCTATAATTGTATATATATTTATGTTATAAGTGTACATTAATTGTATCTGTTTGCATAGGTAAAAATCCACCAATAACAGTAATAGAAGAAAAAAATGATATTTCAGTAGTACTTCATTTTGCACAAGATAGTCCAAGACCAGATGTTTCTGTAATAGTAGTTACGACAATGAGTAAAAATGCCAAACCACTTAGCAATTATTTGTTCCAAGCAGTAGTACCTAAGGTAATACAAAAATAAGATAAAAATTAAACTCTTATTCATTGTGTAATAGCATATTATTCTAATTTTATACTTTTTTATTTCTTTACATAAAGAAATGTAAATGTAGACTTCAACTTCCTTCTGGTACAGAATTACCAGCACATAATCCGTTTCTTCCACCTTCAGCGATTACACAAATAATGTTAATTGCAAATCCACTTAAGGTAAATACAAAATATTATGACAACTTACAAATACTCTTATCTTGTATATGATTAAATGATATAATTATATTTAAAAATGATTTTAGCAATCAGTATCTTTAAAGTTTATGTTGAGTTATACGATGGACGATGAGACTTTTACTGAAATGGGTGAAGTGGATAGACTTCCACATCTATAAAATTAATAAGATCAAGTAGAACGTAAGAAGAATGTGAGTAATATGATGATAATGTTTTTTTAAATATAAATGAAGAGTATTTCTGGACTGAGCATTTACGACTACAATTCACTCCATTATATCACTGGGACAAAACTGAATCTTATTAGTATAAGTGAATGAAATGTTCTTTTATTACAATATATATATATATATATTTTTTTTTTCCTAACATTTCAAGGAACAGTCTTTAAATATGCAGACATTATGTAGGTATAGAAAAAAGTATTTACTTGAATTATTTCCAAAAAAGTAATTATGATTAAAATACAATTATTTGCCATATTGATAAACAAAAAAATATTAATTAATGTAAAGAGAATAAAATTCTAAATTAAACAGTGCTTATTAAAATATTTCCAGCTATAAAAAGAAATGATTTGTTATATAAAGAAAATGATCAAAGTACAAGATATAATACTTATATAGCACATATTTATAATAAATTGTTGAAGTGATATTCATGTTTAGTACGTATGCTATTACATGATGCAAAAAAAGAAAAGAACAAATAGAAAAATAAACACATGTTAAAAAATGATTTCATCTTTAAACAATAATTCCGTTATATTAATTTTTTATTAATTGCCAGAAAATAATTTCTTTTTACGATAATTGATGTATCGAATATAAAAAAAAGAAAAATATTGTTGAAGTGAAATTAGTTGTAATCTTACAAAATATTATATTTAAGAATATATAATTGCATCTTTACGATTAAATGCAACAGTATTAAAAATATTTAAACATCTGTTATTCGAATAAAATATTTTTCAAATTAAAAGATAAATCATTCTACGAAAAATTTCGATATGTTTGTTCGTTGAAATTTATAAGCGTACAATTTGATTGATTTAACAAATTTTGCTAAAATAATTAGATTTGCTCTTTGTTTTATATGATATTTTCTTCAATATAAATATATATATATCTTCTTATATTGGAAATTTATAAACGAATGTAAATTATTGTGATATGTAATATTTATAATATTACATCATATAGACTATTAATGCTTGCATGAAAAATGGAATTAATTGAAAATCTGAAATCAATGGAATTTTTTAAAACGTACAACACACAAGTTTTATTTTAAAATTCCTTTTCTATTTATTTATAAAAAGATTTTTCTTTAATTTCTGTGCCCATTTTATATTCGTTTGATTTTTTAATTACAAATAAACGCGATTATTTGTCAAATAATAATTTTAAATAATATTCATCGTTCTTTGTCAAGAATGTAATTTTTTTCTTCTAGTTTTTATCTTCAATTATAGTTCTCGATCATATGTATAGTTATATGTTAATAGAATTAGTCGATTGATTAAGAAACATGTTTCTAAAGTAAAAAATGTTACGTTCGAATTGGTATTATGACATCGATGAAGTCATAATTTTTTATTGAAATAGATGTCTCAATTATTAATTAATATCATTTGATGAATTTATAACATCGTTTTTGCAGAAGTTACTTTAAACACAAATTAAAAACAGGAATTGTAAATAAAAAAGAAATGTAATATGGCTTTAAGCAAACGTTGATTAATATTGACTGAAGTTATAAATATATA